CAGTTGGCGGAAAACACAGCGTATTTCATTCCATTCATCGTCAAGTGCGCTCGTTCCTTTTGGTTTCATCAATCTGGGGTGAAAAAAACCCTCTCCAATATTTTGAATTTGGACTGCAATACCTAGTTCAACCACTCAGTGTCAATCCTACATACAGCACCTTTAAGTTTCCAGCTGAAAATCTTTCAGCTGTGGTTGCCAGGTCATTCGAAAAATGGACTCTTTCCCTTTGATATTGCGGTATATCTGTTTGCATTCAAATGATATTAACACTTCTTTGCGTATACTTTTAGAATATTATTTAATCTGGTTATTGATTGGAATGGACCTGTTGTGAAACTGCCATGAAGTGCATCATGTTCTTGAGCCTCTGTTGATCTGCGTTTTCTGAAAGAATATCTCTTTGGATTTGAGACTTTAGTCTTTGCAACTTTACAGATCTTCTTTATGCACCAAGAGCTTGTAACACTTAAAAGGGAAAGGAAAAATTGAAATCGCATCATATGACCCCTTTAACAAGAATAAAACCAGCCATCTTAAGTATACATTTAGACAAAAACCAATCTTCTAAATGTCTGATAGGTATCCAGTATTGGCAATGCGTAAGCTGTTATTTTTGGTCCAGAAGGTTTTTAATTCACCTGAATTGAACATCAGTTTTGAAATCTGTAGAAAAACTCAGTGCTATTAAAATGGCGCCCCGTCTGACTGCCTAGAAAAACAGACTGGAGAAAGTGGGAGTTATTTTCATATTCCTATTTTGATACTTTATTGAAGGATGAATCATGTAAGTGAAGATGAACTGGAATTGTATGCCGTGACTGTATGATGCACATTTGAACTTTCTCAAGGGAACGACGTACTTGCTAATCAATGAAGTGATTGACTTTATTTTATTGATTTATTTTTTTATTTTTTGCCAGTATCTTAGATACATATATTAGTGCATAACTCTTTGGTCATTTTTGCAAAGTCAAAATATGTCACTCTTTTAACCTGATAAAGTCAACATGAAATGAAAACAGACCCTATTTACTTAAAATTAGTGCTGTCAAACGATTAATCGCGATTAATCGCATCCAAAATAAAAGTTTTTGTGTGTACATAATATATGTGTGTGTACTGTATATATTTATTATGTATAATATATGTGTGTGTGTTGTGTATATTTAATATGTATGTATAAATACACACACATACAGCATATATTTTGAAAATATTTACATGTATATATTTATATTCATATAATTCATATTAATATATTTAATATATAAACATAACATATTTTTCTGAAATATATGCATGCATGTGTGTGTATTTATATATACATAATAAATATACACAGTACACACACATATATTATGTACACACAAAAACTTTTATTTTGGATGCGATTAATCGCCATTAATCATTTGGCAGCACTACTTAAAATGTAATTAGTTTATTAAAATGGTAAAAACTCACAATAAGGTCCCATTAGTTACCATTAGTTAATGCATTAACTAACAATGAGCAATTTAGTTGTTGCAGTGTTTATGAATTGTCAATATTTTTAAAAAAAAAGGTCAAATATATTTTACGGCGTCCTTATATTTACTATATATATATATATATATATATATATATAAAGCTCATTTTATTTTATTTTATTATTTTTTTTTTTTAAAAGATGCATAATTACATGCAACTAACCCTAAACCAAACCCTCATCCTAACCCTAACCATATAGCAAGTACATGTAGTTTATTAACATTAATCAGTATTAAATGTATAATTACACTGCAACAAGGACACCTTAAAATAGTGTAACCAAAAAACAACTGTTCATGTCAGCTCAGGTTCATTAAATAATATTAACAGATAAAACTTTGATTTTAATAATGAATTAGTAAATGTTGAAATTAACATTTGGTAAGAGTACTAATTGCTTTAGAAATATTTTTCACTGTTAATTCAGGTAAACTCATGGAACATTATTGTAAAATGTTGCCATTTAAATTAATGTGTCTGTTCATTATTCATCAGCGCACATTATTGCAAAGGAAAAAAATTGCCTTTATTTTTTGGTTGTTGTCATCTAGACTGTGTGGGCTGTTAGTTCAATTATTTAGACATTTTTAGGTAACTGCTATACTATAGATTTATGCTATTAACATTGATGATATGAAGGTTATTGGCAAAAATAAATAAATAAATAAATAAACCATTGAATATACTGTGTATATTCAATATATATATATACACTACCGTTCAAAAGTTTGGGATCAGTAAAACGTGTAATGTTTTTTTTAAGAAGTCTCTTATGCTCATCAAGGCTGCATTTATTTGATCAAAAATACAGAAAAAAAACAGTAATCTTGCAAAATGTTATTACGATATAAAATAATGGTTTCTATTTTAATATATTTTAAAATATAATTTATTTCTATGATGTGAAGGATCATGGCGACACTGAAGACTGGAGTAATGATGCTGAAAATTCAGCTTTGCATCACAGAAATAAATTATATTTTAAAGGATATTAAAATAGAAACCATTATTTTATATTGTAATAACATTTTGCAAGATTATGTTTTTTTTTTCTGTATTTTTGATCAAATAAATGCAGCCTTGATGAGCATAAGAGACTTTCTTAAAAAACATTACAAGTCTTACTGATCCCAAACTTTTGAGCGGTAGTGTATATATAGTAAAGTGGGTTATGTATACGCTTTCATGTTGACAACATTTCTCCAAACTGTACATATTTAAGGCTGCTGTTATGATGCTGTCATTTAACGCCATGCTAGTGTCATGAACTGACATGTAGGATAAAGATGTGTGTTATCTAGCATTATGGCCAAAGCTTTAAATTCAGACATTCAACTTTAGTCATTTCCTCATGCTGAAGTATGTAACTGTACTAAAAAATACATTAGCTTCCTCAACTACCACCTTGATTGAACTTATACATTTCTAAGTCCACAAAGTGTTTTCCCCCCAATTTTGTAATATTCTAGAAAATACGAACCATTTATAGCCCACCAGGCTGCCACCCCAAAGTTAATGTAGGACCCTACGGATGGGATAATAAATGCGGTTGTACGGAGAAGCACTTTTGCGCCATTAAATCGATCTTATTTTTGTCATAACCCTGATTTTTGTCCTGGTGTTGAGCGTTTAGTCTATGCAAAAGAGAGATTTGTGATTTACCCCAGACTGGGATATCTTTGGATAAAGATGGGAGTGGAAAAGCAGAGGCTGAAAAGCATGCTTTTATTTTTAGCAAACTATGGTTTGTTTTAATAAAGATGTATAGTTAATAAAGATTTTATAATGTGACCTGAGAGTTTTTATTGTTGTCTAAGCTAAAGTGTGTTGAGTGATATTGTTTCGAAGTTTTAAAGATAACGGCATTTGACTGATGTTTAATACACACTTTCTACACCCATTACACTATTGTGCAACAGGAAAAGCAACTTCCATAACTTAGTACATTTTATAATTTATTCTGAAGAAACAAAATGTTACACTAAGAGTTAGACATGAAACAAGCATAAAAACATTACTGCATCAAAAAAAAAAA